AAATATTCGACAATTTACCAAGTGCATTGGATGCGACGGCGATCCTATCATTTAATTCTGATTCGATAGTGCCATCGCTGGAGATGATTAAGTTGAGATATTTGAACTAGTTGAATAGTTTTCTCACCTGTCCTTCTAGTATACCAGCAAAGTATTGCCGGAGGAAATCTGCATAGATTTTCATGCGAAGGTATTTACACAAGTACTGGCATTTTTACTTCTGAAACTCCTTGCGGGCTGATGGCAATAAAGAAATTTTCAAACGGCAATTACGCCCAAAATGGGATAAATGTTTTTACTACAGAGTTTTCGAATTTCTGCCACCGCTTCCTTTTTCAACACGACAGTATAATAGTGAATACTGTGCCCGGATTTCGAAAGCGCCGTGATGAATAATTTTTACTGTTTTCTAGCTTAATTATTTGTTGAAACTGTTAGCTTACTGAAACTTGCTTTTGATCACTCAGGACAGATCCGTTGGTTGTTAATGAACGAGTTTGGATAGCTCAAGTCAGATGCTTACTATCAGTTTTTATGCAGTAGTGATAGGGGTAGTCAGGTTTGCGCTGAAGTATCTATATTTTGTATTCAGCGTTTCGCTGAAACTATGCTAACCATAATCAGAACCGAATCATGAGCTATTTTTTCCAGCTGCGTTTTTTTGGATTCATGTGTAAAACTGTTGTTGATGGTTTGCTGTTATTATGTAATTTTTTGAATATATACAGGAAGCTGTCAACGCTTGGAGGCATTCTTATAAAGGGTACAAAGTCATTTTCGGTTAGTAATTGCAGTTTGAAGGTATTTGCATAATACTTTACATTATACAGAAATCGGATGACCGGTTCATCCGTCTTAAACACTCTGTTCATTGTTGCTACAGCTGTTGGAGCTAGCCTGATGACGGTGGTGCTGTACTTTATGGTCGATACGCAAAGACGACATCAAAGTATCTTTGTTTAGTCTCACTAATTTTAGTTGTATCTGTTCGGAATATGTGAAGATAAGCACTTACGTTTACTAGGTAGTTTGTCAGAGCCGTCTTGGAGTCTTGTTCTTAAGGCTATCTAAATAGCCAAGGATATAGAGTATATATTCGTACATATCGATGTATCTAAAGAATAATAGCGCATTCGTATTCGTGCGTTTGCCGTTGTATCGTTTGTCGGTCACTTTTGTTAAGATTTCGTAAGTGCCATAATTGAACAGCTTCTGCGTATAAATAGTGTCAGTGAATAAATACACTGCTGAGAGGTGAAGATGACCAGAAGCGAGCTTGTAACTGATTCATTGTAGAATAGGCAAAATGGGAACGTGCTGAGTTTATTCCGGATAAATTCATGACATAACGTGATGCAGTAGTAAGCTCTTCAAGTATAATTAGCTGAATTAACAAAACTGACCACTTCAGCAGGAATTCATCAAAAATTTAACCGGCTTGTTCGACAAAGAAATTGATTCCTTCCAACTATATGCAAAAACACTTATAGGTATATGAGCTTAAGAAACGTTGAAGATTTGGCACTGATCAGTCCCTTGTTCGCTAACGATCCAGATTATGCAACGGTTTTAAGTACAGCGATAAAGCTTCAAATCAATCAATTTCTCATATCACTTGCATTCAATAACAAATTACTTTTTAGACTTTTCTTGTCATAACAAAGTAAATATATACTATGTTTTATGACGATTATGTTTTACGGTGATTATTCACTATAAGGGAGAAAATAAAAATGTCAGAATTCCGTGTGGCTAACAAAATTTAAGCAAGCTTAACGAGCTGTAAAGAGTAAATTTCCTTGTCCAATGCACAAGCAGTCAGTTTCAGAAAATAAGCTGTGATGGCAGATTTTCTTCCAGCTGGGTTGCAGGGCAATCAGTAGCAGTGTAGGACATCGTCTATGATTATCAGTCCCTAAGCCTCACTGCTTTCTATAATGCATCATTGTTATTATGACGCATCCGCCTTGGCCACTGAGTAGCACTCATTTCATTACTATGTGATAAATAAAAGCTCGCTTACGGGTTGGAAAGTCTCCAACAAGAACATGGCTAATTATTTTCCAACGAGAAGAACTCCTTTCGCTATAGGGTAAGTTTCAGAGACATTCTCTTTTGGCTGTTGTATTTATAGCCGTAGGGGGGGGGCAGTATGTTTAATTAGATATTTTATCACCGTTCTTTTATAAAGTGAAGGTTTCAGCATTCCTTGGAATCATTTTTACTGTGCTTTCTTTTTAGAAAAACTCCACGGACTTGCAAATCTAGGTAAAACGTGCTTCGCCAATGCTCTGCTGCAGAGTTTATCGGCGTGTCCGACGTTTGTGTCTTGGCTGGAGAGCATTCCTATAACTGACGAGATGGTGTTCCTTAAAGCTTTACTCGAACTCATTAAAGGTATGGGTACCTCGCGCGGTTTACTAAGAGATGTCATTTGACCGCTGTATTTTGAGGTCTTAACCGTCGATCAACGACCGAACTGTCGGCAGAGAGCATACTGACTTCGCTCAAGTCTCATCGGTGGCAAGTCGATGCCTACAGAGAACAGGATATTTTCGAGCTGTTCAACGTGTTCG